ACCCTCTTTACAGAGGAAGCCTTTGCCCAGGAGTGGCACATTTATAGGCTGTTGATATTAGCTCGGAGGAGAATGAGAAATGAACAATGGAGAGGCGGAGAGGCTCATTGGTGACCGTATTTTAGTTGGAACCAAACTTGTTAGCCTTGAGCACAGGCATGGATGCCTCTGTTCTACGGGTTGCATTTTGGAGCGTGCATTTGAATTGCTTATTGATTCCTCCCACCCCTTTCTGTCTTCGCACCAACTGGCACTCAGGACGGAACTCACTTCGTGTTGACATTCCACCCACTCGAACACAGTGCTTTGTCGAATGGATCGATTTGCCGGCTTCTGTATTTCCGTCTGAATTGTCATATTGTAAACTAATCGTTTTAGAAAAAGAGCAACTGTTGAGTTTCTTGCCAACAGAAACTGCTTTTCGAACCGGTGGCGGTGGTAACATACGAACGTATTAATTTCTATGTAAAATTTTCCACGTTTCATAAGAACGCGCAAGCGTTTATATTCAAAAGATTTTTATTCACGTGTGAATCAGCGTGGGTTAAAAACATATTGTTTTGTTTCCCCGGAAAAACATAGTGTTTCCTGTGTATGGGTGTCCAGTGTATGAGTGGTGGTTTATATATGTGTAATATGTAGTTATTTACAAAAGAAAAGTATGTTTAGGTGTCAGTTATCTACTACCCATAGCAAAAGCGTTGCTTAGTTTGGGACTAGAGAACGTTTTGTAAAAATGTCTAAAAAAATTACAGTTTGATAGCACAAAGACAACTCAAAATACTTTGTAAGGTGATTTTTTTGTATTTTTCAGGCCTCTTAAAAAACTCTCCTCGAAGCAGCAAGCCAATGGAACTACAACACACAATTTTTTTTTTACTATACATATATATGTATTCTTTCGGCCAAAATACGCATTGAAATACTGAAAATAAGTACCTACATAATTACTATTTACACAAACTCTAGATCTTATACTATATATTAACTCCTTATGTAACTTTTTTTTAACTTTCATTTTACTTTACTTTTAGTTAGACAGAATACCAACTTGGCGTTGGGTAAAATTTTAATTTATAAAATGTGTTCTCGCTGAAATATCAATCTTGTTCAGTTTTAGTCTTAACCACTTAGCCGACCCGGATCTGTCTGGATCAAGTGGCGCTCTTGATTTAAAGACCTCTAAAGTCATTCCCTCAAAGTTCGTAACATTCCTTTTGTACATCAAACCGGTTTCTTTTCGTAAAACCCACAAACATGTGATACTGGATCTGTGTCTGTGTGATTCTGGGCGCTTTGGAATTTGACGCGTCGCAGTTTGGACTTACTTAAGAGGTTAAACTTTTTCGTTTTACGACCCATACAAATACTTAAAGATATGATTTTCTTATTTGAAAGAGTTACGAAATGACCAAGCGGTTCACCTGCCAAGTCAAGATCACTCATAATCAGAGATATTCCATTGCTATCCACTGAATGTCCGCCTTCAGTTACCTCATTAGTTCCTCGTCCATTCAAATTATTTTCTATTACCTATTACCTATTATCTACCAACAAATGACCAGAGTTTTAACTATTAAATTCTATGTAGTGCACCAGCCAGTATGATCGTGCATGGAAAATGTCGCCATATTAAGCCAATAATCTTTACTTTGCTTAATGTACAAACATTTTCCATAATGCTATGAAAGGTAAAAAATTAGGGATAATTTAAGAAAAATATCCCCAAATAAAGTTTCAGAGAGTTTCAGAGGCAACAAATAAACATTATTTATATATGAAAAAGTTCACTCTTCTTTATTCATGTCTTTTTTTATCCGTATGTTTTCTTAACATATTATCTATCAACTATAAATAAGAATGATGTTATAAATATGTACTATACAACCTTTCTTTCTAAAACAGATTGAAATTTACAACTCTAATATATAATACAAATCGAAGCCGTGGCATGAACAAATCTTGAGGTTTCCATATCGATCACTAACCTACATACGCTCGACAATACAGCCGAATATAAAGTGAAAATTCTCTATACAACTTCTGTAACGCACCAAATACAACAATAGTAAGATAACGCGTGAAATTTTGTTTGATATTTGTTCATTGTTTCTAACAATGAATAAAATGGTATTTAAAAGTTCCATTGAGAAGACGAAATAAAAATGTCTACTGTTTTTAACTGTTATCTTACTATTATCTTTTTAAACATTCCAAATTAGTTGTGTAAACGACTAAAATCTCCTTTAAAAATCAAGTAATGATAAACAACTAATATTTATTTTTTGTTAATAAGAAAGTTTTGTCTATTAATTTGGAGCATGAAAAGAAGACGACATTAGTGCAATCGATATTTCACAGTACTTATTCAGTTTTTAATTAAAAAATTCCTTTTTATTCCTGTCGGACGACGATACGCTCACTCCCTGTCACGCTTGGGGCTTAATAAGCTTATTAAAATGAGACTGAGATTAATGTAAAAACTCAAATTTAACTCAAAGACAATTCTGCAAAAATTACAATTTCTTACGGCAATAATTACGCTTTCCATTCCATGTCGAAAAAGAAGTTAAAAGACTTTGACGTACGCTTTTATAATCTTTATATATATATATCCATACTAATATTATAAATGCGAAAGTAACTCTGTCTGTCTGTCTCGCTTTCACTCCAAAACTACTGAACCGATTTAAATGAAATTTGGTACACAGATAGTCTAGAGCATGAGAAAGGACATAGGCTACTTTTTAACTGAAAGATTTTTATTTAAGAGCTTCAACGCCAGTGAAGCCGCGGGCGACAACAGACAACGTCTGTTGGGTCCGCTAGTCTTAATAGGCATTCATCGTCTATCACAATATTTTGTATTTAATTTAACATTCTGTCAATGGAAGTAAGAACAGTCAAGAAACTACACTAATTCAAAAGCGCAGAACAAACATCATTTCTCAATATAATTAGTTGATAATTTAATTCTGCAGTATTACAGGTTTAAAATGCAATGCGTTAAAAATGCTTTAAATTCTAAGCAATTAATTCTTAAGCAATTAATGCGTTTAAAGCATTACTTGCGATGTTTGGTGTCTTGGAAGGATGCACGAAGACATTATTCAAGTAGTACTTCAACTCGTCTAACTCTCAGCAGATATTTGCATTGAACTCCATTTAGAGTTCGGATTTAACATTTACAGCGAACGTGTTATATGATGGTATATACGATTGTAAGATCTATATGATGTAGTTCAGTGAAGTGAACAAATAGATGGCATAGTTCGGTAAAGTATGCCCCAATTCGGAAAATGAGGTTCCGTTGAGGCGGATCGAAATATTTCTATAGTTAATATTTTATACCAACAATAATCATTGCGATTTAAGAATGAATGGTGTTTAATATTTTTTGTTTTTGACTTTCTATACCGTATTTATAATTGTATTCGATGAAAAGTTTCATTGAGTATTGCAACTATACCTTATCGTCCTAGTTTATAATTTTTGAACGAGAACAATTTTTTTGATCATCGAAATACGTGATTTTTTAAATGTGAGATGGTGGCAAACGACCAAACGCCTGATAACATGTTGATGCCCGTGAGTATGCATTTGCCAGTGCCAACCTTTTAAAAACCGTCCAAGTGCGAAACGAAATCGTGCACGAAGGGTTCCCTACCATTATCTATAAAAACGGCACTAAAAATATTCGGTTTTTTATTTGGTGTGATAGCGGCAACAGAAATACATCATCTGTGAAAATTTCAACTGTCTAACTATCACGGTCCATGAGATACAACCGGTGACAGATGGACAGACAGACAGCGAAGTTTTACCCTTTGGGTTCGGAATCATAAAAAGATGCAGGCCGTTGATTTTTGTCCACTAAAATAATACCTTATTATTATTACTAATACGATTATTATGACTATGATATATGGCCCTGATTTGGTTTCTGCTTAATCGAGAACCTTATTTTTTAATGATTTAACAAATAAAATAGACGTTTCTCGTTCTCTCATTTTAGCTATTTTTTAGACATGGCATATTTCAATGGATAAAGTGGCAGTTTTAAATAAAGATATAGCAGCTCTTACACAAGATTAATGACAACGCCGCTGAGTGAAAGCTTCTGCTAAAAACAGTTAAGCCGACTCACGTAATGAAATTGACGGTTTATAAATGAATCGAGATATTGGAGTAGCTTTTAATTTTGGGGTTATCTTTTTACTCCAATAGCTTTATGATGAATTGTGCCGATCGCTACTAGAACGATGTTTTCTCTATTAATTACACAATTTCCTCCGATGAAATTCCTAGCGACTACCTTAGTTATATCAAACTTTATAATGAATCTAATACATTTAACTGATCATCTTAACTACTTTAATAAGCTAAGTTTCATTCTTTATCTACTTGATTATTTTAAAAGTTTTACTTTCTAATTATATAAATGGACAAAAGCTTTCAGTGCTCCGGGATTCAAAACTGCGTCTTCCAGGTAGTCCTTTTATCAATTTATCTTCAAAATTTCACCTTTTAAGTTTTATCTCCACTGAAAAGACTAGCATTACAAGTAATACTAATCATAACATACGTAACGTATCATAACGTGTTATAATTATTGTTAATAAGATTTTTAAAACTTTTAATTTCATTGTTGTCAAAAATAATAACAAAGGAAAATATTAATGAAACCCTCTTCGTCCACTCGTATCGAATGATTAAAAACTATCTATTTCGGGTTTCGTTTATAGGATCGTATTAAAACTGCTGTATCGTGTAATCGAATCACTTATCTGAAATTAATGATGTTGGAAATATAATGATCTATTTTATTTATTCTCTGTGTATTTTAAATATATTTTAAGTCGTTTATCGTCGTTTACATATTTACTATTTAAAAAATCAATTACAAATATGTACCACGTTTCATTTTGATTAAATGTAGTATTTCGGCTTTTATTCAAAATAAAGTTTATAATTGTTACACTCAAAAAAGTTTTATTTTACATTTCATTTTTTTTTTTACTTACAGCACATTCCGGCTCAGCGATGTAAGACCCGTTGTCGAAGTACTTCTTGGGGCACTCAGACCACGGCAACTCTGCTTGGAAGCTTTGCGCGAAGTAGAACAAGCACCACGCTATTATCGAGTTGTAGTACAGGGCGACGTTGAATGAGACGACTGCCGAACTGATGCCGATACCACCGAGGTACGGTGAGACTTGATGCCAAACACCAATAGCGCCCTTCCGTAGACGTTGACCAATAGCCAACTCTAAATAGAATATTGGTATGCCTTCAATCGCCAGCATAACGAAATAAGGTATGAGAAATGCGCCGCCACCGTTCTTTTGCGCCAGGTACGGGAATCTCCACACGTTGCCCAACCCAACTGCGTATCCTACAGTAGCTAAGAGGAAGGTCAGCTTGCTGTCCCAGGATTCCCTTTCGCATTCCCCACCTTCGGGCTTAAAAACTCGATCTTCACCCGAGCTATCCTTGCTTGTAGGGGTCTCCGATGACCTATGGTTGGGGCTGGTGTCTTCAAAGGCCTCATTGGTAGCTCCGTACATGACATGAGTACGGTGCGATGTATGGCCATTTTCCATTGTCACCAAACGCCCACGCAGTTCTTTCATTTCCATCCTATCCAAAGAGCGTTGGGCATAAAGGTCCCGTGAGCTCTGTCGCCTCATTAAATGAGCAGTGTTCGCCATTTTTACACTATAAATAACGTTAATTATTGTCGAAAAAGTATAGTCATAAAAGTTCAGTTCATTAAAATATTTCCAATGTTTAAACCAAATCGTTTTCGTTGTCGTGACACATTATAATGATCAATTTGAACATACAAATAATGACCCAGGATTCTCTTAACGTATTAATATCAGTGGACGCTAATTCAAAAGCGAACATTTTTTGAAAAAAAAACAACAAAGATTTCTCCCTTTAGGCAATAATCGAAAGGTTTTATACCATTGTTGCTATCGGTTCATATCACTTTTTGCTTTTTGCTCTGGGACGGGATGGCGACCGAACCGAATGCCGGATGTCACTGGCGGGAAAAGGCTAAGCGGTGGGAGGCAGAGGGCATTCATTTACACTACGCATGCGCCCTTTGTCCAAAAATAAGTTCGTTCGTCCTGCGACATATGGCATAAATAAATATTTCGGTCAAATAGAATATACAACGGTTCGTCTATTAGTCTATTATTTTATTAGTCTATACTATCAGATCATGATCACCTTAGAGCATATTTTTAACGCACAAATGTACGTGCAGTGAAAATGAATATAAATATGGGTGATCATGATCTTATAGAATAAACTTGATTGGAACGAAATTATATCAGTTTACTACGGCGTAATTAGGTATTATGCGGCTGTATAAAAGAATCCTATCTACTTACACCTATCTATATTTTTACAGTCTAATGATATTTTCAATGTTTTATTTTATATTCATAAATTTTAGGAAACTGACACATTAGCGTAATATTGTAACGTACTTTATAGAACACTATGTAATATTATTGAACATATTGTAATATTTAAGTTATACTTATTTAATAACTAACTACTAACTACCTGAATTAATTAAAAAAATTAAACTATTAACTACAACTAGATTAATTAAAAATGAATTAACTGTATTCAACCCTAAAATGAAATATATGACTTCCCTTTAATTTTAAGAGATAAGAGACTGCTTATCTGTTATTGCAATATATCAAAAGTCAAACATGGCCTAAAGGTCTTCGATACCGAGCCATAAAATAGAAACAAAAAAGTCAAATATATATATATAGTCTATAACCATTAACCAATCGAATGAACTGTCAATGTCATTAACTCGTCGATATAGGTAGTACTTTTATCATTTTATCATTTTAATTGTTTCAGATAACAAAATTTAACTTCGAAACATGTCGATAGCGATCTTGTTACCAACTCTGTTTAGTCAAACTCGATAAGTGCACCTTGAAAGACTTGCCGCCGAAATGTATTGCTTACAATGGCTGATACCCGTGCTGTTGATTCCAAAACCAGTGAACCCGGCACTTGTGAACACTCACGTCATGTTTATGGTTTTGTATCTCATAGGCTTTTTCCTCGAAAGAAAGCCGTGTACAGTTTGCAGCTTTGTCTTCCTTGCCGCAGTCATACTCATATGTTATAGCGGTATTGGCAACTGCCTGTTTTGGGCGAGTCAATGCGAGGGAGAAAAATACGACACTTAGTAAAAAACACTCCCAGAGTTACCTTCCAAAGTGCTCAAATGCAACAAGTGTTCCAGCCAAATAAAAGGCGGCAAAATCACGTAAGGCGACGCAAAAGATGAAAAAATTGCGAACATTGCCTCCTTTATTGTCTGTCCATTGCAGTGGAACGATTTTTGTATATTTTTGTAAATAAATATTTGTTTTTATTTACATTACTGTTGTGTATAGATATTTTAGTATGTGGTTGATGGTGATATGCGATGAGTACTTATCTATCTTAATTTTGTTGATTATTGATAATAATGTGATGTATTGAGTGTACAGACAGTTATTTAGTAACATAATATGGTACTGTGAAATATAACTTCCAAATAAAATTATTGTTTCATTATTATTAAAAAAATAATTGGTTCTTTCACAATGAAAATAGTATGGACATATATAACTATAGCTAATGTTACACAACATTGCAAAAAAACATTGGATTTTTAATCAAATTCAAAAGATTGAGTAATTTATAGCTTTTATAGCCATGTTTAAAAGCCGTGATATCGCAGTGTCCAGTCACTCACATTTAATTCAATATACTTGAGCAACCTGAGTTTGATCCACAATGCCGGCACCAAGGAAATTTGTTAATTTAAAGTGCCGACTTATCATATGCTCTTTGGGAAGGGAAATATCATGAGGAAACCTGCATATTATAGAAATACCAAAAAATAATAATATTTCAAAGATAATATGTGAAGTCCACCAAACCGCTGTGGGGCCACATGGTGGAATATGCCCTGATCCCCTCTGTA